GCAAAGAATACAGAAAACAGAAAAGAAAAAGGCATAACCCAAATGGCATCAGCAAAGTCTTGGGCATAAACACATAGATGCAGATGGTCTTCTCAGCCCTCTTTGTATTTCTGGGAACCAGAGGAATCCTGCTTTGAGCCTCTGGGGAGATGGGTTTGGGAGGTAAAAGTTCATTGCTTTTTTTTTCCTTGGGGCAGCTCCTGTTCCTAGCATCAGCTGAGCCTCTCTCCAGCCTGATGCCTGTTCTGATTGTTGCAGCAAAACAATTGATGGCAGACAGAAGACACTGACACTTGCAGAGATGTGACTTTTTCCAATGCCAGCTGTGAGTGGGAGTCAGAAGACTCCAGAAAGCACAACTCCATTGGAAGATTGCCTTCCTTTTCATTCTGTAAAGAAGCTCTAGATCCACTTGCGAATTGTCAGTTATTTGTTAAGGATGGGAAGTTGTCTTTCATGATTTTTTTCCATGTGGTTTGGAAGTGGATAAGGCTCTCCTTCATTCACAAACTCCAGACCCAAGTGCCTTTGGAATATGGCCCACTGGGGAGTTTTTGCCCAGCCATGGTACTTGTGGATAGAAGAAAGCAAGGGCAATGGTATTTGCAGCCAAAACCCAGCAAAGCTTGGCTCAGCCAAAACATCCTGGGGAGAGAGAGGCCTCCAGCTTTTCCTAGAAATCAGCAGAGTTCCAGCCAAATGGTTTTAAGTGCACTCTCTTTGCCTGGATCAGAGCCTTGCTCAGCTGAAAAAGCAGAAAGATCAGCAAGGAGTTCCCAAAGGCCCATCACATTGTTTTGATTTTGCTCATCTTGTGTAAGTTTGGAACTAAACATGTGTTTGCCGTTGAGCTGATGAGAGGAAAAAAAACCCAAAAACCAAAAAACCAACAAAAAAAGCGCCAAACCCAAGAGGCTTACGACAGGGCCATGACATTCCACAAGAGGAATCACTGGTGTGCATTTTATGGACCTCTCTCAATCCTAGAAAAGTATTATAGCCCTGATTTAAAATAGACCAGTATGAACCAACTTGGAGGGACAGAGACTGAAATGGCTTATAGGGTTTGTTTTAAAAGTGAGGAAAACTACCCAAAGGGTGTTGTTTTGGGACATTTTAAAATAATACTACTTCAGAATTACCAACTGCAATAAATCAAGAGGTAAAAAAGAAATGATTTGGTATAGGAATAATTAGAAACACAAAAAATGTGAAGATATGAATGCATGTTTTCATAAAAATCATGAAATTAAAGACAAATAGATGCCCTGAATTACAATAGAAAGGCAGGTAGAACTGTATTAGCTCTTTTAACATTGCTGGAATTTTTTTCCTTCTGAAGAGGAGCTAGTAGGGTATTGCTGAAGAAAAGTGACCCAGGCAGGATGGGGCAGCGTGTTATGCTCCCTGCAGAGGCTGCCAGGGGCTGCCCGAAGAGCGCCCTGCTGCAGCCAGAGCCCTCCTGGCCTGCGGCCTGGGAGCAAAGGGCCAGGGCAGCCACCTCCTCCTCGTCCTGACCCTGCCACTGCCCCTTGCTGCTGCTGCTGCTGCTGCTGCTGCTGCTGCTGCTGAGGGAAGGAGAACCAAAGGCTGTCGGTGGAGAACACCAGGCCATTGCTGCTGCAGTCTGTCCTGCCCTAACCCTGCCTTCAGCGCTGTGCAGAACCTGGACATCCTGGACAAGGAACAACAGCTGGCGTGTGCTTGTGGCTCCGAGGCTCCTGAGAGCTGATGTGTAACTGGGAAAAGCTGCCCCAGCCCTGACTCTGCCCCTGCAAGTTGTGGCAGCAGTGCAGACTGTCTCTGCACAACCATCTGCCGTGTCCTCGGTCCACTTGGTTTCCTTGCCTGCCCGGGGATGCCCACCCTCAGGGTGCCACATCTGCATGGCTACACTTCTGGGAACAAGTGAGCACAGCTTGGCCAGAAGAAGAGGTCAACTTCCCACAGTCACGTGGTGAGAGGTCAAGTATTTGTCTGTCAGTGGACAGGACCAGGGCAGGCTCTTGCTTGGTATCAACGGCTCTCTTGGCTGTTTGTTCCTTGTCATACCTCTGTACACGTTGCAACCATGTCACCAGCTCACAGCAGGTGTCCCTGCACTGCCACCAGCATGATTTTTGGCGACCTGGCTACGACTCAAAGCAGCCCTACACCGCAAATCCCTGGAATGCTGCCCCTGACCAAGAATATACTGACCCAGCTTGACAGAGCCATCAGTTCTGAGAAGGATGTTGCCGCTCTTCACATCTTGGTGGCTCACGTAGTTTGAGGGCAGAAAATGCAGTCCTTGCAGGCACAACAAGAGAAAACAGGAAGAGGAGGGCAAAAAAATGTGAGTTCATCACAACAGAAAGAAAACAAACTCTCTCAAAGATTCCCTCTCCAGGGGAATGGGGAGTATTGGCAGAACACAGTGCCATTGAGAGGAAGAGCTGGCTCGCCCACTGCCAGTATCTTCCAGTTCAGTGAATTTCATGATGGGATTTTCCTTCTCTACTATTTTCTCAGAGGGAAACAAAATGCAAGATGCTGACTTTAAAGAAGAGATCCCAGCTTGCAGGACATATAAAAGGCAGCCCCACTATCTGGGGCTCTCCGCCGTTTGTGCTCAGCTGGGTAACAACCACCACAATAGCAACAGGACAGGCAGCCCTGCAGTGTAGATGGCTGGCACAGAGGCTAACAACTGATTTTATACAGTTGTTTGAAGAGTTCTCTTGACAGGAAACAAAGCACAGGTAGAAGCATCCCACGCTTGAGAGACAAGGAGATCTTCCTGGTCCTGTTCTTGATGCAGGCAAGACGTCGGCAGCATGGACATGTCTCTTGACAGTGCCTTCTGAGCATATTCACAAATTCTGAGCAGCACTGAGAGATGGGACCATCTATCCCCAGTGTGGGAACATGTTTGCAGCTGGCCTAACTTCACACTGGATAGACATTCCACCAGAAAAACACCTGGCCCATGACTGTGCAGGGGTATCTGCGGTTGGACTCCTTTGCTGCCAGTATGTTCTAGTTCGGTGTATATCGTCATGGGATTTTCCTGGTTCACCATTCTCCCTGAGGGAAACAAAATGCAAGATGCTGACTTTAAAGCAGAGATGCCAGCTTCCAGGAGATACAAAACGCAGCCCCACTCTTGGGGGCTCTCAGCCCTTTGTGCTCAGCTGGGTAACAACCACCACAAGAGCAACAGGACGGGCAGCCCTGCAGTGCAGATGGCTGGCACAGAGACTGATTTTGTACAGTCCTTTGAGAAGTTCTCTTAACAGGAAACAAGAGCTGTTGTGGTGCTGTGCCCACACCTTTGTGGGCTGTTCTTCTTGTCCAAAAACTGTTCCAGAAAGAAGTAATTCTTCAAAGAAAGCTGTCATCTGCATTTCAACTACTATCTAATATGTGATAATTTTCATCTAACAGTCCAAAACCACTAAGGGCATAAAACCTGTTAAGAGCAAAACTGAAGATGATTAGATATTTTTGAGCTTAAAAAAATTCCATTTTACTAGCTAAGAACAGGAAGGACAATGGGCGCGACATCATCTAGCAGATACTCTTTGCTTGGTAGAACCCCCTGACAGGTTCTACCAACTAGGCTTCAGGTTGGGGAACCCACAGTGTCTCAGTAAGTCAATCACCAACAGCAAAAGGCTCAGGGGAATTTTGTGCTACTGAGAATATAGACAAAAGCTTTTTTCCCCCTGCCATAAAGTTACTTCTTCAGGGAAACAGACCTGTTAAACTTTGCATTGTATTTATTATAACATTCACCAACATCCATACAGAGTTTAAACTGCTATGTTTATATTTCATTAAAATTTTTATTGAATACCCTCATTCCCACTGACTTTATTCTGTTAAGTGAAATCTTCTTTGAGGATATATAAATCAGATCAACATTTCCAGCAAATGGGAGAACCTGGATTGCTGAAGACCAAACTCTAATTTATACAGGATACCTCCTTCTGCAAATCAAAAGATAGCTCCAGTGGAAAAGAGATATTTCTAAATAAATCTGTCTTCTGGTTTAGTGACATTTACAAGGCAAGGTTTCTGGAAAATTCTGTTGAAAGTAAATCAATCTGATGCTTGTTTTCCAAAAGAACACAAATCAAAACATGTGTAGAAAGGAGAGTCTCTTTTAAGCAAGAGAGCCTCCAAGTCAAATGCACTTACTTGCTGAACTTCACTTAATTGGGTCTGCAGTCTGTGGGTTTTTTCAGCATCCTTTTGCATCTTGTTGAAAGCCCATCTGCATTCTTGAAGCTGCAGGTACAGTGAGCGGGACTCTACTTCTGTTGCATGAAGCCTTCGTGAAAATTCAAATATTTCTTGCTGCAAAGTTGCTATGTTTCTCTGTCAGCAAACAAAAACAAGTTGATGGGCTATAAAATCTGCTGGTTTAGCAATAAAATAAATAATATTTAAGACTCAAGAAAAAGAAGACAAAACATAATTTTTTCCTCCATCTCTAAAAGACATACACAAGGACAAAAGTTTGAACCTGTCACCTACCAAGGGTAACTGCAAATTCTGTTTACAAGGAAGTACTATTTTCACCTAAGGTTTACTAGAAAAGATTATTAGGGAAAGAGTTTATCCTTTTATTTTGGTTAAAGGGAAGAAGGTTATCTTTACTGAAAGAAAGGATGGTAAACATGAGAAAGTAGAAAACAAGAATAAAAAGCAACCTTAACATTTACATCAAGCCAAAAGCAAATTTGTGCTTATAAGCTAATGCAGATCTGATAGAACTTAAAAAAAATCTTTTACTTGGATACACTAAACCTCCTCCAAAAATTCTTTCTCAATAAAAGAAAAGACCTATTCACACCCTAATGTGCGACAAATCAACTTCTGAGTGTCCATATAGTAGCACTTCACTGTCATGGACTCATCACCAGTCTGAAACAAAATAAATGCTGCTATCAAGGGAGCTTCAATGTTGCTGTAAACCTTCTGTTTCCATGAAGGAGGACTGCAAGTCTGCTTACTGTGCTGGGCAGTCTGTCATGCAATCCAGCTTCCAGGGCCTGGGCATTTAGTCTGCGGAGCCCACGAGCCAGCCTGTCTATCAGGGAGTCCCTCTCCAGGAAGGCTCTGCACCCACGAGTGTTCCCTTGAACTGTCTCCATCAGAACGCTCAGGTTGTCCATCAGTTTTGCAAAGCAGTTCCTGGCTGTGCCGATCAGCGAGTTACTAGAAAGCCACAGCTCTGAATCTTTAAGAAAAAAACAACAAAAAGGAAACATCAAGCAGGTTATTAGTTCCCATTTCTTATAATATCATGTTCGTTTTCACTTCTACAGGATGGAACCTGTAAATATTCTGAAACACAGAATGCTGAATCTGAAACACTGTTCAAACTTTGCTTTTAAAGGATATGAATTCAATTTATTGAAAAGAGCATGATGAAAGAAGAAAGTGCCTGAAACTGAATCTAAACACACTTGATTCAATGTCAACTTTTATACCAATGTAGTGTTTAGGCTTCTGGAAAATGCATCACCTTGTCTTTCTCCTGCTATTTCCCTTTATACACATAAATTATCCCTCTTCTACTATCCTTTTTTCTGTGACAAAAATCTGGGGACTCTAAAACTATAGGTTAATAAAGAACCAGGGGTGGCGGAAATGCAGATGAATCAAGGCAACCTGTATCAGTTCTCACTGTAAATAAACTCCAGAAACAGCCCTCTGCTTCCATGGCCTCTATATACCGAAAGGATAAAATATCCTATCAGCTGTTTAAGAAAATTAATCTGTTCCAACAGTACAGAAATGTGATCATTCAGAGAATGTAGAAAAGGGTTATTATTTTAGCCTGCAGTAAAATTACTCTTTCAGGGAAACAGCCCCACTTAAATTTGTATTGACTAGCTCAGGACATAACTTCTAGTCAAAGGTGTCTATCATAAATATTCAGAAATATCTCTTCAGAGCTATCTAAACAGAATAGTTTAGATAAAATCATAAAAATTGAAATTATATGACCACCCTGACTTATTTATTTTTTAAATATATTTCTGCTACAACAATATGCAGTTAAAATTACCTTGGTTGTTGAGAACACCCTCCAGATCTGAGGTAGAATTGATCATTGCAGTATAGAGGTTAGAGCTACACAACCAGTTAATTGCTTCAATACAGTCAACTCCTTCCTCTCCAAAACCTGTAAAACAGAAGTGCAGCTAGCAGGATAAATAAATCACAAAAATATGGCACACTGCTGCCTCCAGCTCTTTAAGAAATTGACCAAAAATAAGCATATAAACAAGAAATTAGTCAGGACAATTTAGACTGTTTGAAGCATGCTTCCCGAATGACATTAAAAAAAAAAAAAAAGTAGATGAATCTTCTAATTTGGAAAACATTTTTAATACCATTTATCCTTGTAGAGAGAAATATAAACTGGTCTGGCAACAGAAAGGGGCAAATAGACATAATCTCTAAAGTAAATTTTGAAATCCTATGCTAATGTTTTACCTGAATCAGAAAGCAATTTTTGTGGGTTTTTACGAAATAAATATTAAAAATTATTTTTAAAAAAAGAGGAAATACCTTTTCCAAAAAAAAGAAAAATCGTTTAGGAACATTGCAAGATATTTACCACAGGGAAGATGCTGTAGCACCTAGTTCTGAAATCCATAACACAAATATCAAAAATATCAGATAATGTTGAGTTCATGAGCATAACTGAACTTTTACCTGCAATTCTTAACCTAAGACTAGGCATTTCCTCCCATAGTGAAATACATTCATCAAGCTATATAAAAAACATAAATCCATAAACAACATTTGTCAAAATGTCATTAAATATGTTTTTATGCCCCAACACTAAAAATAATATTCCTCTTTGTTATTCCCCAAACGTGCAATTTGATGTAACTCTTTAAAAACATTTCACTTACGTGTCACAGGATGCCTGCCTCTGGATTCTCCCAGACAAACTTGAATTCCAGGGCTTCCTCTGCATCCGTCTGACCAGACAAAAAAGGTACAAGAATATCGGGCCAGACCCCTCAGCCTGTTGGCAGCCAGAGCTACAATCACAGCTCTTCGGAACACATAAGCCAGCTTCTTGGCTCTTCTTTGCCTTGTCCTGACTTCGTCCTGGTTTCTTTCCATGACAGCAGGGAGAGCATAAAGGAGGCTGACGATCTTGTGGTTCAATAGTTGTTGCTGGTTCACCTGTTCCTGGAGAATGTCTCTTTGGCAAGACATGGCGCACAGTCGGCCGTAGAGAGAGCACAGGGCCCCTGATAGCAGTGCAGAGGCTGCCAGCAGGAATGAGCGTGCCTTGAAAGCATCTAATAATGAATTTTTCAAGGTATTGTTTTCTTGGGCCAGTTTGTCAGAGAGTTGTTCAAGGCCATAGAGTTTTTGCCTGTTTTTCTGCACCGTTTCTTCACATTCCTGTGACAGAAACAAACCAAACTATAATGGACGAAACATTAACTACATGGTTTTTACCTAGACAAGAATGAAAAGAAAATTTAGCTTTGCCATTCAAATGATGCATTAAAGGAGCAAAAGTCGTTAGTAATAATCGTGATGAAAGTGTCTCTTCTAGTAAGCAATTACAGAATAAGATGAATGAAACAAAAACAGTGGTAGGAGGGAAATTTACATGATAATCAATTGCAAATGGACTCTTGATTTCTGAAAACAATCCACCAACACCGTGACAGCTCACAGAAGGTCCAACACCACCTGTCTGCCCACAATTCAGTTTTATTAATTGCCTTAACAATACTAATAACATCCTCCAATTTCAGAGAAAACACTGCTGTACCGAGCAGAAAGCCAGTGTAAGTGAGAGGAAAAACATCAGGAAGTCTGGAACATGAAAGCTGACAGATTGAATTTTTCAGCATGCAGAGACTTCCAGTCCTGAAATCTGCATCAAATACAGCATTATTCTGTAAAGTAAGTTGCAGTAACTCACAAATAACAAGGGACATCTATTTCATTTATTCACTATGCTTTTAATTGAAACAGGCGTGAAGGAGTGTGATGATAAAGACAGTAAATGGTGGTTCTGGAATAACAGGGAACATTTTGGATTGCAAATAACTCATCTAACAAGGAGTGACAGTTTCACACTTTTAGGCCACTCCTCACTGTAGTATCAGAAAAACAGAATTGCTTAACACCATTGAAATCTACCACTGCTCTTAGGATCAGTACATACGTAACTAAATTTATCCCCAGGTGATACCACATTATTGTTATTCTATACAATCTCTGCAAATGATGATGCTGAAAAAGTAGCTGCTGCCCTCAGTAATTCTTAAAACAAGCAAAGTTGATCTTACAGCTTTAACATTCTCAGAAAAAGAATACTGCTATCTGCAGATGAAATCAGGCTTCTCAGCTGGGCCTGAAGACTAAATTCTCTTCAACAAATGCTTCATCCAAGTAATTTATTTCTTTTTTTAAGTGATGTTAATATTAGCACAGGGATGGGTTGGTTTGTTGTTTGGTTTTGGATTTTTTTAAACTTTAAACGTATACTAAAATTCCCAAATGACCTTTAACTGCTAAGAGGCTTAAACTATTGAAATAATCAATTCAATTTTTAAAGAAAAAAAAAATTACAAGTTCACAGCACCATACCTGTGATCTTGCATGAATTTCTGCAAGGGCGTTTGAGTACTGCTGTTCAAGATATTGCTTTTCTTTCTGCGACCAGTGTTCCTGTGCTTTTAACTGTTCAGACATTTTCTCCAAAGCATCCTCCTGGTTCTGCTGAAGGTTGTTCATAGTTTCAGTCTTGTGCTTGCACATATATTCTAGGTGAGATATCTGTGTGACAAGCATTTAAGAAGAAATTCTTATTTACCTTTTCACTTTAAGTTAAGCACAGACTATTCCAGCATAAAATCTAAACTGCAGTTTTTTCAATATTTTATTAAAACTAAGTAAAACCCTTTCATGGCAGATAAATTACTTGGTTCTCAAAACAAAACTGAAATATATTTTTTGGTTTCGGTTTTGCCTTCTACCACCTTGTCACCCTCTTTGCAGGATACCTGAGCCAGACACTTCATAACTTTTTTTTTTTTTAAATGATTGTATTCAATTTTACTAAATTAGTAATCCAAGTATATCCTTTAGAAGTTTGTGATGATTGCAAACAATAATTAAAACACAGCCTTTAATTTTTTGTTTGTTTGTTTGTGGTTTTTGATTTTTTTCTTTTGTTGAAAAGTCAAGACATTCCAGGTTATGATTAAGTTTTAAAACAATTTCAGGGAATTCTAGCCTTACAAATAGCTCATAAGTTTATGATGTATTTTCAACAAACATGAAGGGATTCACTCTTGTGCTTTAACACTGCACTTCTCATGCAAGCTACATGGAGGAATGAACCAAGCCAACAATGATCCCCAAATGCACACACCTCAACTTTCTGTTCCTAGAAAATATCAAGATACTTCCAGATAGATCACACTGAATTGTGTGGAAAAAAAGGTTTTTCAGCACAGTCTAAAATCCCAGAAAAGCTGCTAAGTACATGAGAAGAGCCCTAGAGACCTCACAATCAGTCTTAATAACAATCCTTAATTAAATAGCAAGCAACAATAAGACACAAGCCCTACAAACACTGCCAACAGTGTTCACCTTCCCTTCCCTTTCCTCATCTACTTCAAAAGAGAAATAAACCAGAACACAAAGTGATACCCTAAAGAGCTCTTTAGGCATAGCTTAGCCTCTGGAGCCAGCTGAGTTATTTTAGAAGGGGCTTTTTCCTTCCTAAAACCACAAGGTTTTCTGGGGAGAAAAGCCATGTAAGCTCATTTGCTTCAAAACCTTTCAGAAAAGTACAGCTCCTCCTTCATACAGATCCTGACATGTTTTAGAATAGGTATTTCTGTTTGTTTCTGAATAAAAATGTCATAATCCAAAGTTACAATTAAACAAAAAAACCCCACACTGGCATTCTTTCAAATAGTACATCTGAATCATAAACACATAATTACAAGGTGATATTCCTTGAGAAATTGTATTTTGCCTCTGGATTATAGTAAAATAAAGATTTGATTTATGACTGTAAATGACTATGTTCAGTGAATTTCTTCCTCAGTAAGATGAATTTATTGTCTTTTAATTAGGACCCTGTGGCTACTATCAGATTGTCCTTTCAGAATATCCTGCACAGAAGGTGGAGCTGGGAGACTTGATGCACACTCCACTCACATCTAAATGCCCCTGGCAACAAACTGAGCAGTGGACAAGCCATCATTAATGGTGCTCATTTGTTAGTGTCCAAATCCTTTTTTGGGGGCATGAATATCAGTCCTTTTTAACGAGACTGCAGTGTGAATAAAAGTCACTGAGCTCAGCAGAGGCAGCTGATGCCTGGGGACGCTCACCCTCTGCTTAGCCTTGTTGAAGTTCGAGACCAGGGCTTCAACATTCTCACGCAAGAGCGCACAAAGCTCTGTCCAAGGTAATTCTTCCAGGGGGACGTTTGTCTGTCTGGAAAGCACCTGGGCGTTTGCCAGGGTCTGGTATAAGTTCAGGAGGATGGACATCTCCCTCTGGAACACAAAGAAAAAAATTAATTGCTGTAGCTGGGCAATGTTAAAATCAAAAGAGATGCATCATATGTGCAGTAGCAGCGCTGAGCACAGCTGAAAACGAGCCCTTAAGGTTCATTCTCACAGCTTTACAAAATTCCTCAGTTCATTTCTAATAATTGCAGCCATAATATTGCATAATATTACAGCAGAGTAAAAAACAGATTTCACAAAATTTATCTAGTTAGACACAGTATGTAAATAAAGTATGTGAGTAAATCCCAGTCCTGTGGGAGCCACAACCATGACCTGGCAGCTAAAAATTTCCATGCTCTTAGTGGATGCAATTCATTCACCCATGTTAATACCTTGAGGTGCCTCCAAATTGTCCCCCAACACTTGCACAGCACACAGAAAACTGTCCATTTGGCTTGGCAGCACAATACACTCTAAATTCCTTTAAAAATTTGTTTTGTGTGGATTATATATGATTAATCAGCTGGCCAAAATGGGCCTACAGCTCCATCAGTCAAACTCCACAAGCCATGCCTCATTTCTTTACAGTGATTTTAATCAGTAGTATATTAAATGGATTAAAAATAAATTTTAGCAACAACAGCATGCAGTAGAAATTCAATTGTTCATACTTTCAGTTCATACATGTGCCTTCAGATAATAGAAAGAAAGCTGTTTCTCAAATGCTGTATCAGTACAGTCAGAGATCACTATAAGATTATCAGACTAGAGTGGAAAGAACATATTCAGGAAGCATAAAAATGGTATAAAACATGGAAAAATACTGTACAGATCAAGAAAGCAGGAGGGGAAACTGAATGGAAGAGAACACACTGGCATTTTCACACAATTTAAGCATAGGTATAGCAGAGACTAACAGCAATATATTAAATGTTATCTATACTTAGTTTCTGCTACAGTCTTTGGCTTTTTCATTTTGGGAAGCAAAAGCAGAGCTGTCTCAATGGAGTAAACAGGACCACCTACAGGCACTTCTGCTTCCCAAACAAATACAAACAGCTTTGGGAAAATGCAAAGCCATCCAAGGCAATAAATACCTGATCTCATAAGACAACTACTAATACAACTCTTCCAAAAATGAACATTTTTATCACCTGCTCAGGACAGTCTTGTGGTTTGAAATCCTTTGAGTAAAACAATTAAAACAACCAGTTCTATGAATATGACAGTGAGACAACCCTTTATTTTTTAACCTTGCGATAATATAACTTATTAATATAAATAGTTAGGATAGACAGTTGCTTTTCTCTGGATGTATTCCTTTTGTGCCTGATGAAATTACTTTCTCAGCCTAACTAGGCCAGCAAATGTCTTTTAATACATGAATGCTTGCAGGGAAGAAGCTGTTATTCTCCCAGAAAGAAAAAAGAAGATCCTGATTTCATTTGTCTCCAGCTTATGAATCACAGATCTGCCTGGGCAGTGGACAGCACTGAGACAAAATGTGGAATCACTCCATCAACTGAACAAAAGACACCCACAAATCTGAAGACTCTCTGATGCAGGTCTCTGCTCCTGTCCACAGGGAACAGACCTCATGTACCTTCCATGCTCAGAGCTCTGAGAGAGAAAGAGAAGTTTCCAAGCCACCAGCAAAAAAATATTTATATTGCTAAGAGTAGAAAGAGAGCAGATGTTACCACACTATCAAAGGAGAGATTTTCTAAACATGCTGACAACTTTCCTTTGTCCCTGCTGCTATGCAAAACGATGACAAAATTGTTATTCAAGGTGTAGCTGGGTAAAGACAGTAGAAAAGCCCAAAGTGGTCACATAAGAGGAGAAAGTTTTCAGAAAATAATCCAGCGAAATACATCCAATGTGCCAAAGCCACAGCAAAACAAGTAAAAAACAAAACAACAAGAAAAAAATCCCCTCTGCTTTTCCACCTGAAAGCTTGAAACAATTTTCAAGCAATTTTTACAGTTAAATACTTGCACTAAAACTAAAAAGGTGTATGAAATAGAAAGAAGCATTTCTACAATGGTAGCTAATGAAACTTGACAAAAAAGTTAGGTAGAAAGAACATTCTTCACATGATATGATAATCAATATCTACAAAATGCCTTAATTAGGAATGCCAGTACATCCTACCCATACTTTAAAAATATTTTCAAATGAGCTTCTCCAAGTCATTGGTTACATTTATTCAGGTAGTAAATTTTTTTAAAGGTAACATAATAACAGAAAGGGTGAGAGAATGGCAGAGTTCTTCCGCAGCTCAGCACAGCAAATGCAGCAAATCCTCACCACAGTAAATATTTTGACAGTATGTTTTAAAACACCTAAACAATGTTTGTCACATATTTTTCCTTACTATTGAGCACTTTTTATTTGTATTTGCAATTTACTATTGAGGATTTTTTTCCTTACTATTGAGCCTTCATGCAGGCTGAAGCTGTCTGGAGGAACTGCTATTGTGGCATTGGGATCTTGAGCTCTCCTCATGGCCTCAACCTTGTCTTTCCATTCCATACCGTAGGTTATATGCTGTCTTGGTGAACTGGAAAGTTTCCACAAAAAAGATACTTAAACCAAAATTACTTTTGTCGCATGCTCTATGTTCTTTTAAATGATAATCAATGGATATGGCAGATACCACTTTAGCACATCACATGGATCCTGAAGCTGCTTGCCTTTCTTAATTGAATGAAGAAATTGATATTCCTTCTAAGAAAGATTTTTCAAGAGGTTATATTTTCAGTTACCAAGCCTGCTGTCATGCAATTCATAAGATTTTTTGGATGTGGCCTCAAAGTTACATATAACAAACAGAATTCTTCATATTTTAATTAGCACAACAGCTGTCTTCAGAGAGACCATGTCACATGTTGCATCATCAGTCCTGATTTCAAGTACAGTTCTTGCTCTTAAGATTTCCACATGCCTGACCCTACTCTGGTCTGACTTTGAAAGCAAGCTACCCAGAATTTTAATCTGTTCTTGTACTGTGTCAGTCAGGAAAACAGATATACCAAGAGCCTGGCATGACTAAACAGGCAGCTGATGAGGAAACTACAAGGCAAAACAACAGCATAAACGACACAGAAGCACAGAGAGGGAATGCAAGGAAGAATTTTAAAAGATTGCCTAAGTATTTAGGCATGGTATCAGGAAAGCCAAAAGCTTGCTTAAAAATGATGTTTGCAAAGGATGACAAAGGTTTTTCCAGCTCAAGTTTGAAGTATCTTACTAAAAACATGTCCATAATCATGAATCTTGAACGAGTTGCTCGGGCCACAAACTTCCTTTCTTGTGGGAAAACTGATTTTTTTCCTTCTCCACTACTCCTTGTGTGAGTAAGTCAAAAGAAACACCTGTGTATACGGACCCAAATAGTTCTAGGCTGAAAGAGAGGTCACCCAAGTTCTGCTACCACAGGCACAGCAGACTGTGCTGTGGAAACATCCCAAGAGATTTCCTGTGCTCTCACACTTTTCAATGTTTTTTAACCATGTCAAGCTTTCTACAGTCATTCAAAAGTTGAAAACAAAGATTACCCACTATAAATGATACCCAACTTCTTGACAGGAGTCTTAGAGATCCAACTGACTCACTGAAGTGGAAAACAATGTTTTCATAATAATATAAGAATTGGACATCTTTTGGATATCTGCTGGATATCTTTTCCTACACTCACCCCAAACACTACTGGAGGCTGGACCCTACCATAAATACGATTTTCAAAATTTTTGGTTTGGCAAATAATCTGTAGCAGGCCAGTTATTATCTGTACCATTCACAATAGCTTTGGTTACTGATATGGGCCTGTTATTAATGGACTGCCAGATTCTGAACCTTTCGCTTGGTTTGTCCCATTGCCCTAGAATTTTCTGCTGACTGAAAATTGCAGGGAATTTTCTATTTTGTACTCAAGCTGTCTACTGCCATTTTGGAATGGCTTTAAAAGGAAACTTACGCTTTTTTTCCTGTCTCAAGAGCATTTACTGGCTCTCTGAAATCTTCCCTTGCTACCCCTTCTGGCAAAGCTTGTCTTCTGCCGAGCTGATCTTCATTCAAAACGTCTTCGAGTTCTTGAATTCTCAACTAGCAAATGTTAAGAAAGCAGTTAAGGGAAGTTAGGAAAGATTACCACGGTCTTTCATGCTGTTCACTGCTCTGTTCTGCTTTTTACAGGTGAATATATTCTATTAATTCTGTATGGAATCAGAAAGCATTGAACACACATAGAAATGTATTAATACACAGAGTTCAAAACAGAGAGAAATAGATATGCCAACCAAAAGCACATTTTGTTGTCCTTGTGTGGTGTTTGGATTTTCCTGATTTCAATTATTTATATTACTGAAGTTTTCCAGGGGAATTCTATTCATTAAGTAGGCTCATAAAAGTGTAGGATAAACAGTAAAAGCTACACTTGCACTCAGAGCAAAGCTCATGTGGAGCTTGTTCATGTACATAAACAAGAAAGAAAACCTGCTGTGTTCTTCACCCAAAGAAGAGAAATCTCTAACTTCCAGGAATGTTACCTTTCCCTTTGTATGTTGTAAAAGTAGAGAAGGAATAAAAAAACCTGCATCATCATTACTTATTTAATCATCACTTCAGAAATCCAAGTGCCTGTACTTAGAAAAAGTAATAAAAAAATAACTGACTGCAGAAGTGGAAATGCTTTTTTGAGTTCCTCAGAAAATAAGAAAAAATTAATGAAATTCCCTTTTGTTTTCTCATTTAGTGTTTCTAAATTCCACTGCTAGTCAGATCACTCAGCAGATCAAAAGATCACTCAGCAATCATCTTTCAGGTTTTTAACTTTTTTTTTTTAATAAATCCTAATTGCTTTAATGGATCAAACCCTATGTGACACAGTTTAGTGATACAAAAATTTAATATTCAAGTATACATATAGCATTTTTTCATATATTCAAACTTTTCTGGTAACAGCAGATGTAATAGCAGAAATGAACTCTGAATATTTACATTTGGAACTGCAGCCTCAGGATGCATTAATATCTCACACCTAGAGAAGTTGGGTGAGTACACTCTATCTCTGAAATTATATAAGTGCCCATTCCAGAGATATAGGACAGAATATTTTAGCAGTTTAACTATTGTGAAACATTTCCTTTCCCCTCACTGTTTCAATGCTACTTTGAATTTTAAAACATAAGAATGTGACATTTTATTTTAATACTGATTCTATTAACTTGACAGTTCCCTAGAAATAAAGGAGATGTTTTTCTATTACCTTTTACAGTCTTGACAATCATTGCAAAAATATCTACTCAGTGTTTTCACTGGAGCAAGGAAATCTTAACATTTTTGGAAGATTGCACCTTTACAAGTCCATCTTCTATTTTACTGCAAACTTCCACCAAATATTTAATCAAAAGTTTACCTGCATGACATCTGTTGTGTATTTACATTCTACATGTGCTAGTCTTGCTGCTGCAGCATCATCCTCCAGTTCCTTTATTTTCACTGCAGCTGCCTAAAAGTACATTTTAAAAATATTTAAGTCCAGAAAGATGATAACATCATGCAAAGACAACTTTATTTGTTCACTTTATTAGGTCTCCATAAACCAACGTGTGGTATCTGAACTACTTGCACTTTGGAACTGTGAAAACTCATGCCAATAAACAAATGAAACGAAATCATTACATATCCAGAATATCAAAGTAATACTTTCTATTTAGTTTAAGAAATTGATGTAGGATTATGCTCTTGCTACAGTTTTTATAGTCACAGATACGTGTCTCTACATAAAGGCCTGGACATGATATTTCAATTGAAAAAATGTTTTTAGCAAAAGCAGTAACTACAGAGCTGCTGCAATAGAAATTCACATGAAATTTTAATTACATTCTTTCCTATCAAAAACATCCTCTCACTTTGACTGATGATTGATTTGAAAAGAACATCACACCCCAAAATGACTCCTGCCTTCAAGTGATGCCACAAAGATGAAGAAAAGGACATTAATATTAAAAGAAATTGAAGACACTCAAGGTTACACAGATACAAGTAAAGCCATTGATTTTGGACAGGTAAAGCAAAGTAGCAAGTATGTGAGACTGAATCCTAACTCTAAGAACTTCAGTTAGGGAAATGTTAACTTAAAAATAAATAAATAAATAAAATTTACATACTAGCTGTTGGCAATAAATTTAAACTCTGTATAAACCCGCACATTCACAAAAGGAAATAATTGAGAAACAGAGATCTGTGGAAGGCCTATTAAAGAAAAAGCCACAGCACAGAGATCACCAAACCCCCTCCACAAAAGCATCAGCCAAAAGGCTTAAGCTTTGCCTCCTCCCACAAGACCTATCTGCTTAACATGCTTAAATAAAAAATTTTAAAAAACTCACAAATCCTGCACAAATTCTTCTTCTATACATCTGTATTGCTAAGATTGCTTTCCCAGTGACATAAACCCCTTTCCATCTGCAGTTCAAACACCACTCTCAGGTCGGGCTCACAGCATTCACCTGTGAATCCACATTTCCTGCGAAGTGACACTCCACATTTTGTTAACCAAACACAGGGCACTCATAACCTGACTCAGAGGTTTCACCCCTCAGAAATGACACTGCTCAGTTGTGCCAGTGCTTGCTGAGGCTCCCAGCAGCAGGCAGAAAGCTTTACCTCCAGTTCTTTGAGGAGCCTCTCCTGCCGTTTGTTCTTGATTTCCAGAGAGTTGGCCTGGAGCCTCAGCACCTTGGCGCAGCCATTGTGCTCTGCCTCCATGTCCTTCAGATTCTTGGCAATGCTTTGCAGAGCAGCATTAGTTTCCTAAAGGTAAGCAGGTAAAGGAATAAATAAATAAATATGCCAAGAGGCACTTTTTCTATGATAAAGTATTGCAGTTGAGAGTTCAACAGAGAAATGGAGACTGCATCAGAAGATGATGTTAGAATTTTAAAATCTACGACGCCAGCACACGTCAACAGAAGTGCTTACCCAACAGCAGAGATGCTTTTGATTCACCATCAAGAAATCTATGTTGAGCTAAAAAATCACTGTGAACATGATCTTCTGTGGTAACACTAAAATCAATACCAGATCTCCACAGGACATCTTTCCCTAAAAGACTACAGCCCTTCCAATCTCTTCTGTCTCCCAGCTCCGTGGCAATGAAACGGAGTGCATTGGGTGAACTTTTGTCCCCAAACAGGGGACATTTTTGTTATGATTTTGATTGCTCAAACTTCAAATCAGATGTTTTTTAGAAACAGCTAGTCCCACAGACTAAATAATTTTGATTTCTGGTATTCTGAAAAGGATTTGCTACTATCTAGAAACTGAATTACTTTAAAAACTTGTGAAATATGAAGTCCTCAGTAGAATAAAATAATCTGGTCTCCACTCAATTTCTGCATACAGAAATTGAACTAAGCTGCAGGCTGGAAGCATTACTTCAATTACTGGACACTGCAGCTCCACGAAATCACTGCTACAGGATCCCCATTGTCCATATGAATTTCATTTAAATTTAAGGTAATCCTCTAGGTTTGAATGTCCAGCAAGACAGTTTTCTTCCCTTTAGAATGCAAGATAAATAAATAAATAAATAAACAAAAATTAACTGTTTTCTACATTTCCTAACATTTCTACTCTATACCTAGAAAGATAGAGAAATATCAGGTTTATCTTCCTAATATTAACAAATTTGAACTGGGGAATGTGAAATAAGTAGCAGATAGATTGCTGTGAAATACTACAAAAAATTTAAAAACATTTTCTACTGGAGATATAATTCGCATTAGCAAACTAAAATTGTCGTGAGTATATCAAGCTCATTAAACAAGTCAGAATGAGCTGCAGGATTTCAGAGTTCTGAAGAATTTCTGAACTTTTCGGCGGCAATATGACTGTTGAATACTATCCCCATAATATTTGCTCATGAAAAACACAGCTGTTTGGGTTTTTTGGTTCTGTTTTTTGGGGGTTTTTTTTGTTTGTTTGTTTGCTTTGGGTTTTTTTCTTTTTTCTTTTTTTTGTTTTTTGGGGGTTTTTTTTGGTTTTTTTTTTGGTTTTTTTTTTAAACGACACAATCTCCCAGGTTTTTGAAGGAAAAGACCATGAAGGGCTATGGACTCCTGCCTAACCACGAGACGATGCTATTGCCCTTCCTATCGCATCCAAGCCCTCCGGTCCCGGGCCAGGATCCGCCCAACAGATCCTGTCACAAAGCAGAGAAGGTGATTTTTCCTGCGTGCTCGTTCCAGAGGCGCATTTCAATACTCCATGACTCCACTCCCATGCCTACCTCAGCATTTTCACAGCCATTTATAAGTTCAGAATTACGGCTTGTGACCTGCAGTTTTTCCGGGAAGGATTTGCCTACATGCTCAGAATCCCACTTCTCTGCACTTATTAAGACCACAATTAAATCTCCTTAGCTTTCATTTTGTAACTCAGAATAACTAAAGGAGATTTAAACCAGGCCTGTAAATACACAACACAAAAGACTGCAGTGTATGCAAAGTCATAATTTATAAACCCAAACATTTCTGATGTTCATCTGACAAGTTTAAATGAATTCAGCTTTCAATGCAGTCAAGCCCAGATGTAAGAATTTTTATTTCCTGTAATTTTATAACTATCCATAACATAACTCTAGGGTGATGGGCAGGCGAACAGCTACAAAAGCAAAGTGGAAAAATTTAACATTTTTATTACCGAGGCAGGTTAGGGTTTGGCACCTACCAGTGAATCAGATTTTCATTTCAGTGAGTTTTGAAAGTCCTGAAAGACTTTTGAGTTCAGTGACATCAAGACTGAAACCCTACAGCTCACTCTGGCCTGTTTAACTAGATGTATTCATGGCAATCTTAGTCTACTCATGCTAATTACATTTCCTACAATTTTGTATCTTCAATGCATTTACCAACAAAACCCCTTCCTCTACAACCACTGTCAGAGAACACTGCCAGGGGACTGACAGACAACACAATGTCCTGAGCCATACACTGCTCCTTTTGTCCTGTTTCAAGGACAAACATCACTCGACAGAGCATGGCATACTTTTTCAATGCTGATTTTTGATGCAGCATTAAACTCTCTGAAGGTAGCTCCTATAAAACACTGTACACAACAGAAGGCAATACCCTTCCAGAGCCTCTTCAAATTAACTCAGCCACTTCTGTTGGCCAGAACTCAGAGCTTACCCTGCTGCCCCATGCAACTTAAAAAGGAAAACTCTACATAAAAGTGGGCTTCTTCACCGCCGATATCCTGCCCAGCTTTACAAGGATCAGCATTGAATAAAAACTGGTTTGTGTTTCTGTTGCAGTGTGTTATAATATCCTGTTTTAAACTTCCGGGTCCCTTCCCCAGGTGTGCCAATACCTCTCTCCCTTCCCCCTCGCCCCCTTGCTGAGTGAGTTCTGTCAATCAGGCTTAACATTCCAGCATGGCCGCCTATGGTTGGTCACTTTCAAAGGATGCCCTTCAAGCCTGGGGATCATTGGCCTGTCTAGGTGTCCCTCATCCCTTGAGATCCTCCCCCTCCCACCTGGTTGGTGGCACACCTGTCCTTTCCCTTCCCCTCCCCCGGAGCTTAAAAGGGCAATCGGATCATGTGCTCAGGATTCTGTTGGAGCTGTTGCCAAGATTCAGACCTCTGTGACCATGGAATAAAGCTCTGGATATCAACCCTCCACCAGAATCCGTCTCCTTTCTCTTCACCATAGCCTGAAGCCTTCTCTCCTGAGGTAAACGGAGTTCCTAACAAGCCTGGACTTGTTCAGCTGCCCAGCTGCAACCACCAGCAAGCTAAAGGTGTCTCTGGGGTGACACACCACAGTAGCCGCCTTTGGCCCAGCAGCAAGGGTCAGACTGGCCCAGGCACAATCTACCTGGTGATATTGGGATTCATATTCAAATATTTTGGCGCCCAAAGTGAGGCTTCATGTTTCTGCTTGTTTTGAGAAGGACATCAGGTCCTGTCCACAAGCTCCTCTGTTTTTCACTACCACTGTGTACTGATAATTTGGGTTAGGTGTTTACCATGACAAACAGGCACAACACCTTCCATCAAAGCCCCAAACCAGCATTACACACTAAGTGTAATAACTTCATAATTCTGTAACTTCATTACTTCTGTAATCTTCAGTATCATTCTGCAGTATTTAGCTATTTGGGGGATTTTTTTCCCCCTTAAACCAGAAAACCTCCAACCCACCCCACACTTTGTACCAAAAAACTTTCAGCCAGCATCTCATGGAACTTTCCATCTATTAATACATCATACCTGAAAAGCCATTTCTGCTTCAGCTTTTTCTCTAATGAGGAATTCTAGCTCAGCAAGGTGTACTCTGTGGATGTTATCCTTCTCCACTGCACAGCTTTGTTGCTCTGCTTGAAGCTGCCACTGATCACTTTGAACTAATTTCTCAATCTCTGATGCTTTTTGCTGATGTTTGTCATTGATTACTGTTGTTTACAAAAAAAAAAAAAAAAGAGAAAAAGAAAAAGAAAAATAGCACTGAAAATTAGCATGTTCAGAAAAAAAGTAGAATGAACATAAGTTCCTCTGTATATTGTGATATCCTGTGAAACACTGGAACAGTAACACTTCCAGTTTCACTACAGAGAAACAATCACATTTTGTGTTCCTGCAGCAACTTTCACACAAGGACATAGAAATGCTTTGGAGATTTCTACAAGTTTCAGCTCTTCTCCCTTTGGAAAGGAATAAAAATTCAACTCTTTCAAGTGAGGCCTCTATAGCATAGGGAACTTAATAACTTAATTACATTTTTCTGCAACACTTGGCTAGCTTATTTCCAAATATTTATGAGATACTTCAGTCTGTAGCAATTAATTTCAAGCTCATTTTAAGTATCAATAAAGACAAACACCAGCCACATGAAAATGATTCTAGGAAAACCTTAGGCAGGTTGGGCTAATGAGCAAAGGCTTAGCTTTTCTGGGGAAATTTACTGCTGCTCAAGAGAGTTAAATCTTCAGCCCAATGGTTGCCCCAAGATAGGGAAATACTGGATCTACTTCTCTGTTAAAGCGTAAATCCCAAGGAAGAGCTCTTTTCCTAAAAGCAGTTTTACTAGGAACTTTGCTTCATTTCACAAACTCCGTCAAAATATGTTGATTTCTTTTTATGTTGCTGAGTACAACTAGCTATGTTGGCATTTATGTGATCACCACTTTCTAATAGATTTTTACTTCAAATTCATCCCATTCTTCTGAAATTTCTTCCTAGATGGAGAAGGCTGAGAAAACCAGAAGAGACATGTTGGGAAAACACAGAGAATTTGTGGACACAATGATGGAAAAGACCTGTCAGATGTCAGGAATCGAACCTCAAGAAGAACAGCAGAAAAACAGTTTGGAGAGGATACTAAAGAAAGGGCACAAGTGAGGTGCTCTGTCCAAGAAGTTAAGCTGAGATGGTGTCAAAAACACCACACGAGGTGAGCAAGGCTCCAAGAGACAAGGAAGAAGAAGCAGTAAGTTAAAAACTGAAAAAGAAATGAGAAGCAACACTGCAACTATTTGGCTTTGACATTTATCACAATGAAAACAAAACCGGGGGAAAAAAACCAACAAAGAACAGAACAAAACAAAACTAAACTAACAAAAAAACCCCCTACCAAACAAAAAACAGCTTGAGAAATTTAAACCAACCAAGATTTTTGTAATTTGTGTGTTCTCCAAATGAATGAAAGTGCAGAATTCTTATTATCTTTTAAAAAATATGGCAGTGTAAATGCACTTTCAAGTTTCAGAGTCTCCTTCCATCCTTGTAAGGTTACAAAGTTCAGGAGTGCTCCAGTCTTTTCAGTGAACACCAAAGATTCCCAAATACATCTCCTGTACTGAATTTAAACAGTATTTTATTTACTTAGGTAACAAAAAAAAACAAGCAAACAAACAAAAAAAATCTCCCCAGCTTTTAAGAGTGAGAAATCTCTTTCTGCTTGAGAATAACTAATAACTTAAGTTTCTGAATGCAAAACTAGTAGGGGAAAAATGTGCAGGTAAAACCATTCTTTTCCACAAACTAAACAAAACCAAAGATGAGATGAAGAGGCCAGATATGAGCAACAAAAAGC